TTTGCAAATACATATGCAATTCCTTTGTTCTCCTCCAGTTAAATTCACACAAATTACTACACAAACTAGATCTCCCATTCTTTAATAGCAAGAGAGGTCTTTAAAGAAATGAAGCGAGAGAGAACCCGTGTCCTGAGAAAACAGCAATTCTTTGCACTGCTGGATCTCCTGTGCAACTCGCAACCGGAGCAAAGAAACATAAACAAGTGATCAAGGGTAGACAGTCTTTTTCACATCCCCAGACAACCATTTCTTATTCTTAATAAGTTTTGTGCCCAATAGAAGGTTATACATACATAATGAAACTCCCCTGCAATTGTGTTCATTGTATTGAGAAAAAAAAAAAAGACAATTAAGAAAAGAATAAAGCAAAATTCTGATGACACATCCTCATTTAACTGAAGCAGGGGAAAGGTCTCAAGTGTTCACAGAACACCTTAGAAATATAATAATGTGACCAATATTCAAGTGAAAACACAAAACCCACCATAGACCGTTGTGTATAACGCCACATTTCAGTATCCCACACATTAATTAGAATTCTTCCTTCAAGCTACATCATGTAACTGAATCAAACCACCAGTAAATAACCAAATTGAAGCTGGATATTCAACGATTTATAATCTGGCAAAAGAGGCATTTGAGTTTGTTCACTTCTTCAGAAGATACATTTAAGCTCTTTTTTCTAAAGTCTTGTGGCTTATTCTAAATTGATTGCAAAGTTAAAATATAAAAAAGGAAAAATATTAGTTCCAGATGAAGTACCTTTCATATTTCTTGTGTGTCACACAGGTAATTATTTACAGAGGGCAGAAAGAGATGAGTGATGGAAAAAACATATAGGTTAAGATGCTTAAGTTTTATTTTCATTATTTTATCTTCTATCCAGGGTTGATAAAATTCCTTCCCAAGGAAAAACACAGCCCTTCACCACATCAGATATACATTTTGTAAAGACATGTTTTCTGTTATTCCATACCATTCTTACCTGCCGTTAATATTCCAGAATAATGCTGGACTGACGTTTTCACTAACCCATCAAGAAAAAAGGGTGAAGAGGAGCAGAGAAATCCCTAAGCATCACTGGACCAGAATCATTATGGGGAGGCAAAAAGAAGGGCTTTAAGACTGGAGAAATGTAACTTCCACCGGACGTTTATACTATTACTGTACAGTAAAGCCTCAAATCCGAACCTTTGAGATTGGAAAAATGCACACTTCAGAATTCCATGTAGACAGTACAAATTGCCTTTCACGACTATTTAAAATTAGCCCATGTTTTTCCTATTTTTAAGTATGTTACAAACAACAGCAACTATGAAATTATTGTGGAACAGTTTTTGCCCACATTATCAAAGGAAACCAAAGAATATACAGCCATGAAAACACAAAGTATTTGAGGAGGAGTTGTGCTTTTGCCACAAAGCAGTGATCATCAATGAAAGTCAATAATCAATGTTTTTAATCAGCCATGTTTGTCATGTGGTAGGTATATTCCCTTGTGTACCCACACATACACATTGTCTGTGTACATGCATATAACATGCATGCAGTATATGCAGCATAGTATGATTAGGTAGAGTAAAGTAGGTATTTAATAGGTATTTTTAATTTGAATATGAAAAATTGTTTGCTTTTTGAGTGGAGGAGAATAAAGTACAAAGATTCAGAAATTTTCTAAAATGAAATGAATTGTAGAGTAAGTCTCTTCAAATGCAAATTTCTCATTTTCTTTCATACAAGGCTATGTAAATGGTGCATTCACTGTCTCATGAACAAGCCTGAAAGGTCAAAGTAAAAGTCTGGTCATTAATTACTGAAAGGTTAATGCAATAATTTGACATTGCATCAGTTGAAAGCCACTTCCAGGAGGTATTTTAGATAACACAGTGCCCTTTATAAATCTACTCCACTATTTTCTTTTGGTCTGAAATACTAAGCTTACTCACTAACAGTATAACTATAATTTATCTCTGTGCTGATGGCAGGTGGAGCTCTATGCCAAAGACATTTAAAAAAAAAAAAAAGGACCCTGACAAAAACCACAGTGCAGGCACGTCTAAACAAGAGTCTAAAATGATTAAAGATACATAGGACAAAAATAACAGTCAGCAAAACACATCCTATTGCAATCCTCTGGGACTTCAAGTTCCTAATGAAGGATTGATGGAACTAGAGTTAAAAGCTTTAAGAAATCTGGGGGTAGAAGGGAGATCACAAACGACCAGAATGAAAATATATATAAGGTAAGGTGTGTATATAAGACAGAGAGATTTTTAACAAAAGTACATGCAAAAGGCATTGCAAACAGGCAATGATTTTACAAAATTAAACGTGAAATTATATTAGATTGGAGAATATCTGTATGTTGTTTTAACATATGGTTGTTTTAATACTTTGTCCCAAAATGTCTTTTGGGATAGAGCTTATTTACACTGTTCCATCTCTTCTTCTTTTATAAGAGCAAATAAAATCTAGTTTCTATACCCCCATAGAACAATTTAAAGGCAGAAGCATCTTTCTTTTATGTTCTAATCTGGAATCTGGAAAGTCCACAGCTTCCTCTTAACAAATCTGTTTTGCCTCGAATACAAAAAAAGAGACTACTCACTGATAATCTTCAACACTCCTCCAAGACTGCTGTTCCTCTGCTCGTTACTGGTCTACATTTGAATGGATCTCAAAAGAACCTTTCAAAACATTCCCAAGGAAAATAAAATCCCTTGCACTGATCATTGCCCATTAGCCTCTAGATCCCATCTCAAGATTTCACAGTATGGAGATACTGTATCTTTCCAGTTCATACGAAAAGGGCTCAAGGAAAAGCTCTTTATTTTAGCTGTCTTTAGAATAACCCTTCTTTTCCTGACTTCAGAGGTAGCTTCAGACAGAAAACACTGGCTCTGTGTATCATTACCAGACAGTATGACCTACTGTCAAGAAGGTATTCAGATTTCACACCCTGAGTATTTTCAGCAAGTCACACTTCTGTTTCTCTGGGATAAAAAATGGAAGTTACTTATACTTGAAAAGGGGATTGAAAACACAGGGTAGCATATTTGTTATTGTAGCTTCTCCTAAAGGCTAAATCTTTCTTTTTTTTTTTTTTTTTTTTTGTGGTGGGAAGAAATGTAGCAAAGAAAAGTATTCCTTGCAAAAATTAAAAAGCATCAATAACAACTCATTTTTGAGGTGTTCAGTAAACTTTTGTCAATTCTGACATTGACTTTTTGTAGAAAACAAAAAAAATAAAGGAATATCTGGGTTGACTACCTAAAAAAAATTCTTAAACATGAGCTCAGGTAGACTCTGAATAAGTTCACAGGAAAAAACAGCAAAAGCCATATCATTTGACTCATTTAAAACTGCTTTTCAGAACACAGGAGAATACTTCAAGAATTATGAACAGAGAAGCAGACTATAAAAGACAGAGGATTTTTCTCCCAGTTTCTAAATGCAAGGATTGTATGTAATGATTTATTATTTGCTAAGTACTGTGAAGTCTGGAGCCTGAATGACTAAACAACACATAGACACATATGCACACACATAGACACATACGCACACACATACATGCAACCCTTACCTTAACCAGAGGCTTAGATTTGGTGTTATTCAATTTTTTATCTTGAAGTTCAAATGCTTTCCTTCCTCCAAAAGACCAACCACCATATCTAGTAATAAAAAATAAAGTAATAACAAATTACCTGCCTTAAGCGTAGCATTCTTTTCTTGCAATGATAAAGTGGTAATAACTTCATTAATTCTTTATTTTTCAACTGAAAGAAAAACTTCACCCCTCACAAACCCCTTCTCTGTTAAAAAGAAGAAGCTCAATATACTCTTGAATCAGGTGAACACTATTGCTCTTTTCCTGCAAAGGGATTCCCTCAGGTAAGACTTTTTACTTTTTGAAGGCTGAAATCCCTAAGCAACACGAGGGTTTGTGAGCAAGTGAGGTATAACTGACTTCCAGAAAAATCTTGAACAGATTGATTTCTTCCTGCTGCATACATATTCTAGCTCAAGTCTTTCATACTAAGATGTTCACCCCTATTTTTACCAAATCAGATTCACTTTTTTAATGCATAAATGGTGAAACCTTTCTTTCCCTTGATAAAATCATACCTGGTGTTTGCACTTATGTGAAAGGCAGTGGGTGAGCTGTAAAGGCATGTAAGTAAACCTCAAAATACAGCAGATTATAACCTCTGTGGTTGGTATCACAGTACGTTAAGGGGGTTACTAGCCTTTTTAGTTTAAAGAAAAGACTAATTGGAGCATAGCCACCCTTATTTGATTGAGTCTCTGAGGAACAGAAACTATATAGTTCATCTGATTTATGCATATACATTTTCTTTCTCCAAGATACCGAAATAACTCGCTGTGTGGCAAGAAGATCCAGGATGTGCCTAGAGGCAATTATCATGCAAGTGCTGGAGGAAGCTCTAAGAAGTGACCATGGAGGTGGTTCCATGTTACCTCAGCCTGACTCTATGCCTTGATAACAACTAACAGATAAAGGCAACTCCTCCTTGTATTCTCAGTGACGTAGGTCTATGCTTTGGATCAGGAAGGACTGTGGTTTTTATACACAAACGATAAACAAAGGTTAGATATTTAAAGGCTACCTTGCTTTGTTGGAAGGCCTGACTAAATATTCTTCCACAAGAAACCCTGAAAGATTATACAAAATATGTCCTTTCTTATTCTTCACATAGGGAGCAGAGGTATTGAAACTTGGACACATCTGAAAAACAATATACATAAAATAAAAAAAAACACTCTTAAAAATCAGTAGCACTACATTTAGCCAGATTTTTAAATTTTTACATAGATTTTACAGCATTGCTTTTCAACTGTATTTGCCTTTCTCAGCCTTGATTATTTTTCAATAAATTACATATGGGTTTATGTTTATAAGACATCTCAAATAATTGCAAGTGTCACCTACATGTTAGAACCACATTTCTCTTGCAACTCTGTCAGTCAGTTTTGTTTTGAAAACATCAGGACTTGCAAATGGTTGGTTGCAGCCCAGAAGGCCATCCATATCCTGGGCTGCATCAAAAGAAGTGTGACCAACAGGCTGAGGGAGGTGATTCTGCCCCTCTACTCTGCTTTTGTAAGACCCCACCTGGAATATTGTGTCCAGCTCTGGGGCTGCCAACATAAGAAGGATATGGACCTGTTGGAGTGGGTTCAGAGGAGGGCCAGGAAGATAATCAGAGGGCTGGAGCACCTCTCCTATGAGGATGAGCCGAGAGAGTTGGGATTGTTCAGCCTGGAGAAGAGAAGACTCTGGGAAGACCTTATAGCGGCCTTCCAGTACCTGAAGGGGACCTACAAGAAGACTGGAGAGGGACTTTTTATAAGGGCATGTAGTGATAGGATGAGGGGGAATGGCTTCAAACTAGAAGGGGGCAGATTTAGAATAGATATTAGGGAAAAAAATTGCCCTCTGAGGGTGGTGAGGCACTGGAACAGGTTGCCCAGGGAAGTTTTGGAGGCCCCATCCCTGGAGGTGTTCAAGGCCAGGCTGGATGAAGCTTTGAGCAACCTGGTCCAGTGGGAGGTGTCCCTGCCTACAGCAGGGGGGGTGGAACTAGTTGATCTTCAAGGTCCCTTCTAACCTAAACCATTTTATGATTCTATATAAGTTTAGAAAGGATTACAACAATGAAAAAGGCAAGACTGCTATTCACTTGTTGTGCCTGAAAATAAATGCAAAAAAGGCACCAGAGGAATACAAGATGAAAAAAAAATCTAATTAATGCAATACGCTTCTAAAAAATTAATTGATGGACTGCAGAGAAGAATAAAGGAAGATGTTTTCTAACAATTCAGTGGGATATTCTCACAACCAAAGAAAAGGAGACAGATATTCTGATCAGATATCTCAGAAGCCTTATAAAGTATATTATGTATATCAACTGAAAAATTTTAATGTTTATTTGACATCTCAACCCTACACAAATTAAAATTCGCTCTCAGAGATTCTGTTTTTCCATAGCTCACAGGTACAGGTTCCGCCTCTACTATTAAGTGACTTCTCTCCTTTGAGCTTTATGGTTAATGGGTCTCTCCCTGTGTGAGTTCCCATTCCCATTTTATTTAAGCTTTGTATTTTAAGTATATATCTTACTAATATTAGAGGCAAATTTGTTCCTTGCCCAGCAACGTAAAAAATTAGTTTCCACTTTTCCCAAAACTGTATTGCTATATTTCAGATGCAACTCTTACTTAAAATATTTCTATCTTTATGAAGGAGAGAACCTATTTGATTGAATGGTCCCATCCAAGGAAATATATTTGTCACTTTAGACACATTT